AGCAGGCTGAGAAGGATAAGGTTGAGAGGGAGCAGGCTGAGAAAGAGCAGGCTGAGAAGGATAAGGTTGAGAGGGAGCAGGCAGAGAAAGAGCAAGCTGAAAGGGAGCATGCTGAGAAGGAGCAGGCTGAGAGGGCTAAGGCGGCTAAGACCGAGAAGGCTGAGAGGGCTAAGGCCGAAAAGGCTAAGGCTGAAAAGGATAAGGTAGACAAGGAGCAAGCTGATAAGGCTGAGAAGGATAAGTCCAAGTCTGACAAGGAGCATGCTGAGAAAGAACAAAGTGAGAAGGAAAAGTCTGAGAAACCCGAGACTGAGAAGGAGAAGGTTGATGAAGAGAAAGCACAACTTGGTACAACTGATGAAGAGAAAGAACAACTTGGTACAGTTGAAGAAGAGAAAGAACAACTAGGGACAACGGAAAAAGGCCGAGAGGAAGATGTTGAGATGGAACATGGCGAGAAAGAACAAGCTAAGGATAAAGGAGAAAAGAGGGAAAGAGAAGAAGTTGTTCATGCTCACCAAGGTAAAAGGGTGAAGATCATAAGCAAGAAGAAGGGAGGGACTGTGGTCATAAGCAGTCCTATTCAGACAACACAAAATGCGAAGAAGGATAATTGATGATCTATTCTAAAGTTGGGTTTTAGAGTCATTTTATATTTGAACTCTTTGTATTGGTTTATGGATTGATGTCTTTTTGGATGTGTTTTGAACTATTCTAGTAAGTTATATGTTCTTTGTTAAGTTTCTGAGTTACCATTATACAACTGCATTCAAAAGATCAACTTGGTAAAACTACATAGTAGTTGTACGATTACAAAATACTAGTTTTACAACCAAAAATTACAACCCGAATACACAAAGTAAGTTCTAAGTTACCAACAAAGCTAAACCAAGTAGTTTTATACTTAGTTGTCCAACTACGAAGAACAAGTTATACTTAGTTGTACTACGAAGAACAAGTTACACTTGATTGTACCATATTCCCAGCCCTATCAGAAGAAGACAACCACAGAAAACGAGTACACTCATTTTCTTAATTTCCTTCATAT